TAAATGAAAGTAATCATTTCTATAATATACATTTTAAAAAGAGCTTTTGAATGGTCTAGTGTATAATGTTACAAAAGCTTTTTATTTCAGATTAATGCTGATCTTTGGATCTTTCTATTCATCAAAGAATCCTGAAAAAATTTACTCGACTGTTTTAAATATTGATAATCAGCATATTAAAATGATTGCTGAAGGATCATGTGACACTGAAGACTGGAGTAGGCCTAACGATGCTGAAAATTTAGCTTTGATCTCATGAATAAATTACATTTTAAAATATATTAAAATAGAAAGCAGTTATTTTAAATAGTAAAAATATTTCAAAATGTTACTGCTTTTGGTGCATTTTGGATCAAATAAATGCAGGCTTGGTGAGCAGAAGATAATTCTTTAAGAAACATTAAAAATCTTGCAGTTCAAAAACCTTTGACTGGTAGTGTAGGCTGATTATTCTTATAGATTGAAACGTGCATTAACCAGGATAACGAGTATGAAACATGCTCCGAGTTGCTTCAGAAAACAAAAAAATAGAGCAACAACAAAAGCATGTTGCTGGAAATGGGTTTATTATTGAAAATGCAAACTGATCGTCTGCCAGCAGGAGGCGCTGTGAGAGCGGTAGAACTAACGGGTTCTCCAGTAATGGCTGTAAACAAAGCAGCTCCGCTCATAAACACTACTTTTTCAGATAAAAGTGCCATCTAAACTATTCTGAAGACAGTCGGTTACCTTCAGAGATACATTCATATAAAACACCCGCGCTGTGTTTTGATTTTGAAACGTGCAGTGCTCATGTTTATTCAACAAAGTCAAACGCCACAAATAAATCAATGTACGTTATGGGAAACACTGGTAATGTATATCGAAATATCGGAAATGTGTTTAAAAATCATATCACCGTTATTGAAAAAAATTATATCATGATACATATTGATATTGAATTATTGTCCAGCCCTATGCTGACGGTAATCTGATTACTATGAAAGGAGCCCTGTTGAATACAAATGAACTCTAAATTCACTAAAAATGTCCAAACTAAAGAAATGAAAGAAATGACCTCAATTATTAAAACTAAGATCTTGTACCTGGCAAGCTCATCAGTTCCCTCACAGGCCAGCAGCACGGCCTCCTGGGATAGATCAGCCATGGTGTGGCCCAGGGTGTTTGTGAGGTGCATGGCATGATGGATGGCGGTATCGTGAAACTCCACATCAATGGCGTTGTCCTGATCATCGTTATAGCCACGGACGATACCCACAGAGTTCCACACCTGAGAAAGAACATAAGGAACTTTACAAGACCATCTCATAATTAAACAAATCACATCCAGATTTCCAAATATTTACTGCATCGACAACAGCTATGGTTCTTCCTCACCATAAAGCGATGCATGAGGTGCACTGGGGTGGATCCTGCCTGGAAAGCCCTTTGGGGTTGTGTGGGCATGGGACCCTCGTATACGGGACGGGACACTGCAGGACCCACAGCAGGAAGAATAGCACTGCTGCCATCCTCCTCTGGAACTCCATCCAGTTTTACAGAGCCTGGATCTTGAGAGACACAAACATCTGACCATTAATTGAAGAGCTTTAATCACTCTTTCACTACTAATAATATCCTTGACTTGAAGTAACTGCCTGCACTACTTGCTTTACGGAGACGCTCATACCTTGAGAATTGTCATCGTCATCCAGGAAGGACCCTCTGTTCCGTGGTTTGCCCGTGGCAGGCATGAGGTCATCGTCGTCATCATCCTCCTCCATGATGGGTTTCTTCACCGGAGACCGCGAGTCACTCATGCCCTCATCTAGCATCCGGTCATCATCCTCATCAAACAGGTCATCATAGTCATTTTTTTCTTTAGCGGCAGTGGCCTAAAAGTCATCAGAGGAAGGAAAAAAAAAAAATCACAATTAAAGTTTTCCCCAAATCGTGCAGCCCTAGTAATATTTGCTATGAACAGACATTATATAACGCTTAACTAAACAGAACTTCATGCATGTTTTAGTATGAATATGTAAATGTGACATTATAATACTTCTAACCATTTGAATGAACATGAACTGGTGTAAAAATTCGATATTATTATTAGACCTTATGTATTTAGTAGAGCTGGTTGATTTTTCCGATTTTATAGATTAATTCGAATTTAATGTTTTGCCACCATTTTATTTCTTATAAATTAGATATATTACCAAATGTTATAATTAGACACTTTGATAAAATGCCAATGATAACAGTAAAGAGAAAAGCATGATCCAACCGCATGTCGGCGCACGTGATTAACCACTTACATGTGACGTGCTCTCTGCGAAAGACCATAAATACATAGCTAAAATAAGACATTTATTTAACTGAAAAAGTCAAATGTATTGCCAGCACTGGTTTGTTAGGAACTTCTGAGAGCTCTGGCTACAATGAATTACACCACATTAAGTGCGCTAAAACTTAGTATTTATTGGTTGAATTTCGTATTAAAACTTCCAAATTTGAAAGCTGAGACTTTGTTTCATATAACAAGCAGGATTGCCAGTTTGGCGTGAGATTTACATGGGCAGAGTGAGAGCGTGAGATAGAGCCTGAAAGCTTACAAGATGTAGTTGTAGTTCATGCATCACCTGCGAAAGACCATAAATACATAGCTAAAATAAGACATTTATTTAACTGAAAAAGTCAAATGTATTGCCAGCACTGGTTTGTTAGGAACTTCTGAGAGCTCTGGCTACAATGAATTACACCACATTAAGTGCGCTAAAACTTAGTATTTATTGGTTGAATTTCATATTAAAACTTCCAAATTTGAAAGCTGAGACTTTGTTTCATATAACAAGCAGGATTGCCAATTTGGCGTGAGATTTACATGGGCAGAGTGAGAGCGTGAGATAGAGCCTGAAAGCTTACAAGATGTAGTTGTAGTTCATGCATCATGCAAAGATATTTAACAAGTGATTTGTTTAACATTTACATCACGTTGACAACTTCATGTGTGGTGCACTTGGAATAGAATTTTCTTTAACTAGAGGGTTAATAACGAAAAAGTTACTTGAATTATGTTGTAGTTACATTTTCCAAGTTGACTAGAAAACCGCACAAATCGAGAATTGGTCAAACAAACAACATTTTTTTTTTCCCTTATCGCCCCCAGCCCTAGTATTTAGTATTTTCATACTTAACAATACTATTAACAAATATACAAACAAAGAATGATGTTAGTATTTTCAATAATAATCAAGCAGCAGACACAGGCACACAGAGGTCACCTAAAGATACATATTAGGGCTGTGCGATATTGAAGAAAAATGCTATATGCGATACCTTGTTAAAAAATGCGATATTCGATATGCGATACGATATTGCTTAAAGTGTGTAAAATCAATTTAAATATTTTTAAATATTTAAAAATGAAAATCACAAAACCAATTTGTTTCTTGGAAAATAAAGAATCCCTTTAACTTCTGAAAGTGACCAGCAGTGTTTTAGCATTACTTAAAAAGTAATGTCACAAATCAGAAAATATCATTTAACATCAATGTGAACAAAAAAATTAATGACACTAATTTTATATCATTGTGACTTTGCTTTCCACACACTTTAAGTACTTCTTCATATACCACAGCAAAAACTATAAGGTATTTATAGGCTGCTGTCCCTTTAAATCCGACTGCACGGATCCAGTATAATGATACACATCCGATTTCTTTCTCAGCTGTTTACATTCATTTAAAACATAACCGACTACGTTTATGAGAATGCTCATCGAGACGGGTACTATTGACATAATTCTGTGTGTATGTGTCTGTTCAAACCTAAGGAGGAGATGCGAAAGACAAATCAACTCGGTCTGAAACACATCTTTCTGTGTGTGCGCGCGCTTTGCAGGTGTGCGGCAGAACTGAAGATACACTGTGCGAGATGCGGCTTGTGCGCACGCTTCAGGTGTGAGTCAGACAGCAAGACGAGACGGCAAAGTTGTTAACTTTTTAACGTAACTTGTTTTTAACCTTTTGCAACGTTTTGATTTAAGTAGCCTATTATTAAAATGATAATGATATCGCACACCGTTGCAATATTGCGATATTTACATTTGCGATATTTCGATATATCGTGCAGCCTTAATACATATACATCCATCATGACTTGAATAGCACTGGTGATGCCATTTGTGGCACAGTATGATAGAGAAGAAAAAGACAAGAGCCTGAAGGGATGACTGACCTTGGTGCTTTGAACAGTAGAAGAAGAGGGTGGTGACGAGGATGACACGCCTTCCAGGAGCCCGAGGCAGCCCTCGGTGTCAGTGTAAGCGATCCGGCCCCCTGAGGGATGCCACGCCATACCACACACAGTGAACCCTTTCTCATGTTTCTGTCTGTAATGTACAAGATCAACATCACTGCACATACTGTATAGTCTGAAATACCTAGTAGCATGACTTCCTTTCTAGAAACATCCGTAAAAACACACAATATTGTGTACAGTTATATTATGTATAAAGCAATAATGACAATACAATATTCACATTCTGTCAACACCAAAATCTACAATAATTTTAAGATGTGAATTTAACCTCTCGATACACAGTTTGGCCTCTACATCCCAAATCAACAGGTTTCCACCAACTGTTCCTGCAGCCAGAAACTTCCCACACGGCGACCAGACCACAACATTAACAACCTGGGAAGAGAACGATTCGGCAAGAATTACTCATAACAATGCACTGCAATATAATGAAAAACTTTAACCACTCAGCACATTATCTCACCTGATACAGTAAGCAAAAGGTTAATACACAGTTTTAATGCTAATACAGGTTTCCACAATCTATAAATGACCTTTTTCTAATTATATTGCTCTTAACTGTTCCATTGTTGTTTTCTACTGACCTGTGTGATGAGGTCATCACAGAGCGTGCTGACATGAGTCCATGTGTTTCTGTCATACAATTGAACGGTCAAGTCCACCGGTACGGCAAGCAGCTACAAGCACATACATCAAATAAAAATCTTAATCTTAAATGTCATGACTGTTGTAAGAAACTGGTGAGGGGAGTTACATATGTGCTGATAAAGCACTTACACAGGAAGCAACCAAAGAGAAAACTTAAAAATGTAAATTGAATTTTGAAATCTGAACGGACCTTATATAAAACGTGAAATTGTCAATACCTTTCCAGAATGAGGCTGCCATGCAAGCCTACAGAGAGATTTGGCATTGCTCACATCACTCGACTTCTGGAGAATTTTCCATTGAGCTACTTGAGTCTAAAACACACAACAGGATTCATGAGCTTAACATCAGACCTAAAATACAGAGGGGTTGAAAAAGTCTGAGATCACACTGAACATGTGGGATCCGATTTCAAACTTTTTTTTTATTATTTAAAATTTTAGAACAAAAAAAAATCATTTTAGTATCCTTGTTTTTATTATTCTTTCTTGGAATTAATTTAAATAAAATTGTTTTTTGAAATCAATTTTTAAAACTTTGAAATTAAAAATCAAATCTGAATTCAGTTGATTTAAATACGCAATTTCTATTATACTGAAAGTATAACTTGTAATAAAAAATAAAGAATGTAATAAAGAAGCGTTTTCTCTAGTGCTCGCTGACTTTTGGACACCATTGTACATGTTTTTCCATTGTATTAACAACTGACGAGGCCTCATACCTGTGACTCAATAGACCACACAGTAACTGATCCATCACAGCTGGAGGAAGCCTGTCAGGAAGTGACATCAGCATTATACAAATGACTAATTATTACCCAAAACATAATATTTAATAGGTAAATACTCATCAGATGTAAACATTAAAAAACACCCTAGACCGCAAATGACAATGTATGCAAGAAATGGTAAATGGTAATGTGTGCAATAAATATGAAACTGTGAACTAATTCATGAACTTCATTCGGCCACATTCAGAAATAACAGCTGAGCATTAAAAGGAACCATGACACTCACAAGGAACTCATCAGAAGTGTCAAGAGCCACACTGAGGACGGGAGCGTCATGTCCACGAAGGGTCTTCTGCTGACTGCTGTCCACCACCTCCACTATCTTCACAATAAAGTCACTGGAAAACAGAATGCCAAAATTAGCGCCTTCGTTCTCCACCATTTTCAGCCCAGCAGAGACTCATATTGGCGCTGCAGATCTTTCTGATCTGAAGTGGGGAAATAAATGAAAACTCATTTCCGACCTCTACAGGAAGAAAAAAAAAATCAAATAACCTGTTTGGAGCTCAGCTGCCAATGCCGCCTGCATCAATATTCAAACATCGGCAGCAGGATAAAACTGCTCAATCAATGCTGTGACATGCTCGCTGCCTTCATCCATGATGCATCCGCTTAAAACAATCCATATATCCAGAAAATGGCCATTTAGCCAAATACAACTAATCATAAAACAATCGAAGTGGCTTCGTTTTCGCATTGACGTCGGTCAAAAGCACAGAGATGGGCGTATTAAACAATACTTTTAAATTATAATATTAAACACTATTTAGCACATATTAATGATCCATGAGATTTTTTTTTACACTGATTGTAACTAATAAACTGCGACTAAATATTCATATAAAACCATGCATGTTGTATTGTGACTAGGGTGCAAAATAAATCTAAATATTGAGAAAATCGCCTTCAAAGTTGTCCAAATTAAGTTCTTAGCAATGCATATAACTAAACAAAAATTTAGTTTTGATATATTTACGGTAGGAAATTTACAAAATACCTTCATGGAACATGATCTTTACTTAATATCCTAATGATTTTTGGCATAAAAGAAAAATCGATCATTTTGACCCATACAATGTATTGTTGGCTATTGCTACAAATATACCCCAGCGACTTATCTGAATTTGAGTTTTATTAAAGGGAAAGCCCCTTGAGATGTTCCATCTCATTTTCGAGGGGGACCTGATCTGTTCTTATGACTGGTTTTGTGCTCCAGGGTCCCGTATAAAAACAATAGGAAAATTGTTCAAACCCTGGACATTTTAGGCAATTTAGAAATCCCAGCCAGGATATGTCTGAGAAATAGAGGATAATATATGGTCACCCGGAAACATGCACATGCTTTACAACACAAATGTAGGAGGACAAGGACTGAAAGCAAGTCATACCTTGAGCCTGCAGCCACTCTTGACCCGCTGCTGTTGAAGGTGACGTGGTTTGCGTTGGTGGTGAATCGAGTGAGAATGCCATCTGGATCTCCCTCTGGGAAAGTGTGAATCTGAACTGTGTTGTTGGAAACTGCTGTAACTAACTTTCCATTCTGTAGGGAAAAATAAACACTGACATTTAATAATAATTAACAGGATTCTGATTTAATTGGCCATTTTCAGATGTTTAACTGGAAAAAAACTCGCTGTAGCATTATTAATGTGATTATATTATTATAATAGACTGTAAAACACACACACACACACACAAACAAATGTTAACTTACCTTCAATGCTACAGAATAGACCTTCTCCCCAACATTTATGGACTTGGGA